GGGGTGGGGCCGGGCAGGGCGGGGCGGTCCATCGCGTACGTCGCTGGTGCCGCGTGATGCCGCCCGATGCCGGTCCAGTCCGCCGCTCGTCTTGTCCGCGACACGACCGCGTCCCCCTCGTCGCGATGGTGCTGCAGGCCGCGCTCCTCGTCGTGCACGCGCTGCTGGCCGGCGCGTCCGCCTCCATGATGCCCAACGCCAACGAGGCCATCCTGACGCACCGGAAGAACGCCCCGGTGCCCAACCGCCACTGCGCGCTCCTCGAGCAGCAGAAGAACGTCAACCTGGAGGCGGTCAGTGTCTCGCGTATGCACCTCACCGGGGGGCTCGCCTGATTCGGGTGCATGCCGTCTGACAACGGTCGCTGGCGGGCTGGCGGACTTTCTCGAAGCCAATAAGTTGGCCTCCAGTTCGGTCTGAGCCAGACCGCCGCTCCGCAGCTCAGCTGCGCGGTATAGCCGGGCGAAAAGATCGGCCATGCACATTCATGCTGGTCAAGTTTTGGGTGCCGTCGCCCCGTCCTGATGACCCCCGTGCGTCTTCTTCGTGAACCACCGCTGCTGGTGCCTGCCGGCCGCCCCGCCCCATCTGTCGCTCGCCTCGGATCGCGTCGATGAGAGCGTCGGCAGCGCGTGTGATTAGGGGCCGAGGCCGAGCAGTAACGCAGTCTCCCGCTCGACTTGCGCCGCCTGCCGGGGCCGCCTGCCGGGGCCGCCTGCCGGGGCGCGGGTCGCTGACGCGTGAGGAGCCACCTGCCGCCGCCGCCCCTCCCCCAGTGGCGCTCGCCGGAGAAGCAGGGTCGCTATAGCTCCGGGCGTTTAAGCTAACATGCGCCGCGCCCGTGAATTTCATCGTACATTTGTGTTTGGATGAGCACGGCCCGACCGCGGCGACTAACCTGGGCCCCGCGGGTCCCGGGCCCGGGTCCCGCGGCGCGCAGGCGTGTAAACGGCGCGCGGCTCCCCCTGCCTTCCTGGAGGGCGGGGCGGCAGTTGTCACGGATGAACGGCGCGGCTATGGACGCGGGACAGTGTGTGTAGTGTGTGCATGTGTGTGTGTGTGTGTGTGTGTGTGTGTGTGTGTGTGTGTGTGTGTTTGACACCGTCCTGCAGGTGCGGCCCTGCTTTGGCCATGTGTGTAAGCCTATGAACCTCCGGGGCTGAAGGCATAGCCTACGTCGTATTTTAGCCGCTTTAATTTCACACAAATTATTAAACGTGGTGTTGTAAAAAAAAACATTCAGGCAACGAATAATCCACATATTATGGTACGCGTTTGGGGGGGAGGGGGCTACTCTAGCCTGACAGTCCTATAGGTCCTATACCAAAAGCATTGGAAGGTTAGGTTAGCAGCGTAGTGGGCGGAGGGGGGAGGGGTCAAAAACAGCCCAAAATAGCGTGACGTGATATGTGGACAACCCCCAAAGCAGCGTACAAAAAAAGAAGAATATTGCACTAAGAAACACTGAGATTTGGCTGGTGTCCGTCTGAAACGTTGATCGACCCTACGCGGCGTCACATAACCTCTGTTCTGCTACCGCATTACTCACCGGAGCTGCTGCTGCGCTGCTGCCGTTCCCACACCATTGACTCGGACGGTCCATCACTTCTGTTGAGCATTGGTTGGATAACTGACTCGTGGGCTTAGGTGAAACTCACATCGCGATTGCTTCTACACAATCACGGAAACACACCGGGCAACTGTGTGACTAAAACCTCGCTAAAACTGACCGGTCGACGAAAGGGAATGCCCAACACACATTCTCCAAGATACCAACCCTATGCATAGCCAGTGTTCAGTGTTACCAACTAACGCACATTCAGATACACGCTGCTATTGTTTAGTATAAGAAATCAGATCCATCAAAAAGTTTCCTCCAGGAACGGATCGTGAAAGCATATGATACAAATTCCAGAATTCTATTCAAGTCTATCTGAACGGGTTGTATACTCCATAAGGGCCATCATAAGGAATTATTGAATAAAAGTACGTGCGTCATGCGCCACGACGAACTTGCAAAGATCAGGCCCTGCCTGCAAGCTCTCATGGCGCCTGGGAGGTAGGCAACATCGTGTCTGCCGTGCACGCGTGTACTGCGGGGTGGCCTACCCCGAGTCTCGCAGGCGCCTAATGGATCGGAGAAAAAACACGTAGTGAGAGTTGGTGTTGGTAGACAAGCCCGCCGGCACACCTGCATGCATAGACAAAAAAAGCGCGGCCTGAATTCTAAAGTCGTACGAGGGTGTCAACATGTCGACCCCACAAAACCGTATGTCATTTACCTCTGAACTGAAGTATGCCGGCGGCGCGGTGGCCGCGCATCGCTCCTCGGCTCCATCGCTCACGCCTGGGCAGGCAGACCTGGTTATAGCGAGGGAATATACGGGTGTTATAGCAATCATTTTCTTTCTGCATGTTGGTGCTGGGAAAAAATGATTCCGCGCACCGTTTGTATCTCTGACTCGGGTGTCGGGCGTCGTGGTGGGTTTAGTCTCGTGAGGGGAGGCGCCTCACCTCTGCTCTACAGACTCAATCCGACATGAAAAGAGACTTTGTCGGGCCGCGCGATCCTCGTCGCCGTCGCTCGCACTTCCCGCCCTCTTTGGTCTGCGGAAGGGGGCGGGCATTATACAATTGTGGCGGGACAAGTCGGGGCGGGGCGGGGCGGGGCGGGGCGGGGCTGCCGTGTGAGACACTTCATAGGGTCACTGCCCGAAGGGCGGTCGCGGCGAGGGCGCCGTGCCGCCAAACATCTTCAAATGGCTTGTTCGTTCAGAGGGGTTGCGCACTATAATAATTATTGAAGCGAAAAATGTGTGACATTTTAAAATTATCACGTCCTGCATCCTGTTAACGACATGTTGTTGTTTTTTTAATTTGCCATTTACAAAACGAGTCGTACATGTACCAGGTGGTTGATTAACCCCGCTCACTTCTGTAGTTATGCTGTACAGCACGCATGCTTGCGGGCGGGCTTGTCTATCGCCCCTTACGGGCACAGCGACTAGGCAACCCGCCCGCCTCGTGCGTGCGGTACAGCATAACTACAGAAGAGAGCGGGGTTAATCAACCACCTGGTGCAACCTCCCACTCTTGCTCGTTGTTCGATTCCAAGTCAATACGCAAGGCTTGTAAATTTTACAATTTCGAATTGTAACTGTATGACATATATTTTATGTAAAATATTCTTGTACCCGGTACGACAATTTTCAACAGTGTATCTGCAATAAATAATCAATAAGTGTGGGTGGTGTTCCAGCTGTCGGGTTACTGGTACGCCGTGGAGACCATCGGCCACCGCGAGGAGGACCGCATCCCGGGCGAGGGCTACAAGGAGATCTCGCTGTGCCCGCTCATGTTCCTCGCGCAGCTGGACAACTCGACCGACCTGCGCCTGCTGTGGGAGGAGCCGCTGGGCAAGATCGAGTACCGATTCAGGGTCGTCGACGAGAACGACCGGGGCTTCTGGATGTCGCTCGGCCAGCAGAACGGTGAGTCCGGTGAGTCCACCCGCCAGCGCTCGCGCCAGCGCCAGGTCGGGGGCGATAGTCCAGTGGCCTCGCACAAAAATACTGCACGAAATGACTCATCTACCAGACTTTGCACAGTTGTTCTGGGGTCTATCCTGAACGATTTTGGGGCAGAGGCATTTGATCCGACCGTGCAGGTCGGGTCGTAGTCGGGTCGCCACCCTGGTCGCATGGTGTTGCATGTCCCTCTGACGAGTCGCCTCGCTGACGCCTGCGCTCGCTCTGTGCCCGCTCGCTCTGCGGGGCTCAAGTAGTGCGCGACGCTGATAGGCGAGGACATGCGAACGGAGCAGATTCGCGGCGGCACTCCTCGAGCACGCAAAGCACGTTCTCGTTGCACGACCCCTACAAGCACGCTGGCCCCGCCCCGCCTCCGCCCCCTGCCACAACAGCACCACAGCATCCGCCAGAGGAACCGGGCAGACCCGAGCAACAACCGGCCTCGGGCCGGTAGCGCGCCCCCCACAGAAGGTTCTTGGTTTTTGTAAACAAGAAAATGTAACTTCTTTTGGATTAAAGTGCCTTGGCGCGATAATAAAGCATCCCGTTAAAAGATGAAAAGAAGAAGAATGCAGGAAACAACAAAACGAAAATCACTTATGCATTGACATGGTGACTCCCCTTTTCTTGTTCCCCGCATTCTTCTCTGCATTTAAGCTGTCCCGCGTACTGCAGGTAATGGGGACCAAAAGCGGCCCATTACAGGAAAATTAAGTTAGCGGTGCCTCCATTAAAAACATAGCGCGTTATTGAAATTATGCGGTGAATTTGGGTTCAGCCGTTGTGGGCCCCCGCTCCCCCCC